TTTCCAAGCATGCCTGCTTGCACAGGTAATGGTTAATGCCATTGGACTGCTCATCAAAAGCATCAGCACAGATTCTTTTCTGTTTGAGCCCTTTTTTGTTTTGTTTTCTATAAATAGCTATTTTCTTAATTTTTTTCCTTTTATTCCCTTTTTTTTTTCACAAGAATGAAATTCATAAATGCAACCATCAGTAAAAATGAATGAATTGGCGTGTTTATACTGTAAGAGTGGTCTTGGTTCTTTTTTAAAAAATCATGTGAATAAGTTTGAATTTCTCAAAATGGCTTGTTTTGTTGTTGCTGGTTTTTGGTTGGTTTGTCGTTGGGTTTTTCCCCCTCTCTCTGCTGCCTTCCAAAGGCGTTTATGTGACACTGGGAAGAACCTCAGCGTTGAAAAACGTGGCATCTGTTGGACACGGGTGCTGCTTGGGGGCAGCATTGAGCGCTGGATCTCGCTGCTGTTCAGCCCTTCTGCAGTGCACTCGGGTTTTCAGTAAACACCACATTTTCCTGGTATGTGCTGGGCTGGGGTTTGGTTCTTTGGATCCTCCCACATGTATTAACTCCTCACATGCTCCTCTCCTCCTCGCAAGATCTCAGCCTCAGTCCTCAGCTTGCAGCACTTGCTGCACCAGCTTAATTCTTGCTTTGTAACAATTGCAGTTCTGCTCCTTTTCTCCCCCTCCACGCCTGCCTGGTAAAAGCAGCTCCTCGTGGCTTGTCGAGGTACCTGCAGTCATGGCTCGTGTGCTGGATCTTGCTCTCAGGAGGCTGGGGATTGAATTGCAGCCTGTGTGAGAAACCAGCCAGAACACAGAGCTGAAAAAGGCAAAAATAGCTTTGTTCTCCCTCTCTCTGTGTGTGAGAGACACTGGAAATTGATCTGAGCCGCACCAAAAAGTAAATAAGCTCTGCAGATGTTCTCCAGAGGGGCATTCTTCACCAGTGTGGTTAAAGCATGGGTGGCTCTAACCTTTTAGGTTACAGGTGTCTGACCTGCCCGAGACAGGTGGGAAGTGGTCTGAGAAACGGAAGAAACGGGAAAATCTGTTTGTTGGAATGAGTTTGGTTTTTTTACATGAGCATCTTGCAAGAGCAGCTGAACGAAGGGAAGGTGGAATTGGTCTGATTTGTACGCGGTGGAAGAGCAGGAGGCAGGTCTGGGCGGCGAGAGGTGCCTGCGGCAGCAGGGAAGGTTTCTGCCACAGGGAAGGAAGGAGAAGCGACCGCCAAGCACCTTGAATCGGCCAGAGATGGGGGAGTTCCCCGGGCAGCGACTGCTGCAGCAGGGGGAGCAGCCCCTGCGTTGGGAACCCTTGAAAGGCTGTTCCGTAGTGATCGGGTGCAGCAGGATCCAACCCCAGCGCTCCTGCCGCAGGTGAGAAACCGCCGAGAAGCGCAGCGGAGCGGCATTCCCATGGGAAGGGAGGCTCTCCATCCCTCCCTCCCTCCTTCCCCGGCCTGGCCGCGGCATCGTGAGATGCTTGACGACGCTTTTCTGCTCCTTTTTAATAACGCAGGGAGCTTGCAGAGAAGGTAACTCAGGCAGCGGGCGGCCCTGGAGCTGCTGAGCTCCCAGCCCGGGAGCTGCCGTGTTCCTGCATCCTGGAGCCTCAGGAAAGCAGCTCTGCCCGCTGCTCCCGCTCGGTCACCGGGGCTCATGTGCAGTCTGGTCTGTTCATCCGTTAGAAACGAGTCGCTGAGGGGTGAGACCGCCCTGGCCATCAGCTGGGTTGGGTTTTGTTACCCTCCCCGCCCCCCTGGGGCTGCGCTCGGTTTGGGTTTGAAAAGCAAAATTCCCGGTGTCTTAAAAGCTCCTCTTCTCTTCCCCGGCCATCCCAGCCCGTGTCCCTCCCCGAACGGTACCGGGTGTGTTTCTATTTCCAGTAACAGTGAATGAGAGCAGAGGGCAGAGCTTTATTCCCTCTTCCTATGGCAATGGAAGCAGAGCTGCTGTCCCACCAGCCGCGCTTTCCCTCCGCCTCCTCGCACCCTTCACCTCTCCAGGAGCAGCCCCTGCAGCTCGGACACGGGGTTCATTCCCTGCAGAACTATTTTCCTGGGCAGAATTCCCGACACCTCCAGCAGGAACAGCCCTGAGATTGGCCCTCCCTGAGGGGGCAAAGACAGAGCCCGGGGCTGGACCCTCCGGACCGCGCTGCTGCAGCTGCTGAACATCTGCATTTCGGGGTTGGTTTGTGTGTTTTGAGGTGCAGTTTTATGTTGGAGCAGGTGTTTTATTCTCTACCCTCAAATCGTGGCTGTACGTGGGGCACAAACACAGCCAGAAAGTGGCTTTCTATGTAGTATCTTCTTGTCCCTCAGCTGCTTGGCTGGAGATGGAGCTTGACTTGATGCTCATGCCTGATGAAAACCTGAGCAAAAGGAATGGGAGACTGGAGTTAACCCCCAGGTAGATGCACTTGCTCAAAATCAGTGGCCTTAATGCCATGTAATTTGATTTGTCTCAGCTGTAACTGCTTGTGTTCCAGAGGCAGTGACCCTCTGACCTTCAGGGTGGTGTCTCCAGGTAAGTGCTCCATCAGGGGTGTTGGCCACCAGCTGCAAAAGTGATGCCAAATCCATTGAGTCCTCTTGGTTTTCCAGCACTGAAAGGTTGTATCAGGGAACCTCTATGTTCTGATGGTTTGTTCTAGTTGCTCCATGTTACCTCTTCTTTTATGTGCTGATAACAAGTTACACTCCCTGAAGGAGGAGAGGGTGAGGATTGTTCCCCTCTTGGGTGTCCATGCTGGAGTGAAGGTCTTGGCTTCTGAGGATTGTTTTGTGGGACACGGTGCTGGCAGCTGCAGGGTGTTGTAACTTCATCTATTGCAGCGAGTGCTGGAGAAACCAGAGAAGTGCAAGCAGCAGCCTGGACAGTGTGGTGATGGCAGGGACAGCCCCAAGCCCACCACAGGCTTTTCCTCAGAACCAGAGGGCAAGTGGCCACCTGGGCCAGCTGGAGGAGGAGCTGCTGCTCACCGGGGCCATGCAGGGTGAGCAGACATCAACCCTTTCCTAAAAGCTTTCTTGTGTGAATAATTGATGCCTCTTGATCCTCCAGAGATGCCCTAATTGCAAAACTAGTGGCACATGTTCATTTTTTTCCTGTGTATTTTTAAATAAGGTTCTGAATCTCCTGGCACAAGGAGCAGGGCCAGGGGTTCCTGTGGGTGACACTTGAATGGGGCACCAGAGCCAGGCTGAAGCCAAGTGTCCCAGCACTGCCTGCAGGAGTGTTGGGAAGGGCCATTGGGATGGGAGGGTGTTCCTTCTCATGGAGCTCCTGTCCTCTCTGGGAAGTGCTTGGGCAGAGGGGGGACATGGAGCCGGGGGGGATGGGCTGGAGCTGCCCCAGGGTAAGTGCAAAACCCCTTCACCTGGGGGAGGCTGCAGGGAGGGGAGACCAGGGAGGGGAGACCAGGAAGAGGGACAGCACTTGTGGTGCTGGGGAGGCCAGGAGTGGGAGGCTCAGGGAGAGGGGAGGACATTGATGATGTAAGAGGCTGTAGAGGGAGTGGGACATTGGGAACAGCGATGGGGCAAAAAGCTGAGAGAGGAGGAAGAGGAGCATGAGGATGGGCAGGTGTAACAATGCAAGTGGAGACTCCTGGAGAGACTAAAGGGAGAGCAAGAGTAGATGCCAGAAGATGGTGGGAGGGCAAGAAGGAGTCAGGCCAAGCTGGAATGAAATCTGAGAGACTGGGGGAGGCTGGTGTAGAGGTCAGTCTGCACAAAGATGCAGAGTGAAGAGAGGCTGAGCAGGGTGGGGGGCTGAGGAAGAGCTGAGGCTGAGCAAGAATGGAGGCCCTGAGAGGTTGGAGGCCAAGGAAGAAATACACTGTAATGAGGGGACCGAGTCTTATAACTGCTCATGGTTTCTCCAGCTCTGTTTACCTTCCAGACACCAATTTGTACATATATTGACTCATATTTATTCTTCCAAGTTTTAAGCTCTAGCTTGAGAAAGTGGAGGGAATGAGCTCCTCCTACCAGGAGTGATTTCTCGTGAAGCAAAAAATCCTCCCACTCTCCTTTAGTGAAAATGAGAACTTCAAGTTACACATTGAAACCCACAGTTTTCCACAGTAGCTTTCAAAGGTGGGTCAGATAAAAATCCTCCCTCAAAGCAGCTGAATCCCTAGCTGGTTCATCACTTTCACCAGCTATTTTGAGTAACCCAGACCAGACATCCATAAATCCAGTTCCTTAGAAAGTTCTCAGAGTTGGAAGAATTTTCATATTTAAACCAAATTGCACTGGGAGTTCTGGTGCCTGTCCCAGCTCCCCCCATGCAGCGTTGTCCCCTGTCCCAGTGCAAAGCCTCACCATCTCCCACAGCCTGTCCTCCCCTCCCAGGCAGTGTTGAAAGCTGACAGCAGAGATTTCCATGTTGCATCTTACCAAATATTCTGTTGTGTAAAGAACCTTTTGTTAAATGCAGAGAACATGGTGCTTTTGAGGGTGTGGCAGTGCTGTCCTGTGGAGATTATTAACTTCCACAAGTAACTTCTTGGGTCTGAATCCATGTCTGAGATGCTTACAGCTCCCCTGGTGTTGCACAGTAGTTTTCAAGCAGGTCAAGGTGTGCTCTCCATGGGGACCAGTGGGCACCACAGTCTGATCCTGGCTCTGCATCAACACCCTTTGCAGCGACAGTGACACTGATGGTGGAACCAGGATGAAAAGCCTTGGTGAGACATCACTCCCAATGACTGGGGCGCACAGAGGAGTCAGCAGACATCAAAGCTGGAGGATGAAGGCACTGTCAAATGGGAAGTGACTTCTGTCACTGGGGATGAACAAGAATAATGGGGATTTCATTTCTTGGGTGGAAGAACACTGTGCTGTCTGTGGCCTGCAGCCCTTGGGCAGAGATGGTGCCAATCCCGCTGGTCCTGGCAGAAGCTGTTACAGTCACTGGACATGGGGGTGAAGCAGCTGTGTTTTGGGGGCAGAGGGAGCATCCCTTTTTCTGTGCAGGAACATTCACTCTGGTCATGCCATGAGTGCCTTATCTTGTGAAGGAGAACATATGATTTTGAAGTGGCCATCCTCAGGGCTGGGAACAGCCCCGGCGCTCCCCGTGCTGCATATCCCGGTGTGAAGGGGAGCAGCTCTTTCCCCTGCATGGCAGCAGGTGCCGTGGCATGATTTGATCTCTCGTACAGCAGCACCATGTCCAGGGAAGCAGAAGCCACAGGTTTCCACTGGCTCAGGGACTCTGCTGCCTGCTGATCCATCAGCAACACTGCCCACTTCCACCAGCCGATCTGCAAACAAACGTTGTGTATTAGCTGAAGAGCTTCTAGGAGCACCTTGTGACCAAAAAATGCTTTGCAGTGCTCCACTAGAGCCTGTGAAGAGCCAGTCCTCAGCCCAGCCCCTGCATGAAGTGCCTGTGACTTTGCAAGAGAATGACAGCAAAGGGGGTTATGGTGGAGAATCTGGGCACAGGGATTCAGTCCCTCTCCTCTTCCAGGCTCAAGTTAACCCTTGCATGTTGTTTGCTTTCTCTCCCTACCTCTCTTAGGAACTGGGTCTGCTTTTTTGACCTCCCAGCTCTACCTGGGAGCCTATCCCTCAGGAGCTCCCCATCCTGGCCCCCCCAGCACTCACCCTTGGAGAAGTCCTCCCCGTGGTGGCAGGTCCCAGTGCTGGCTTGGCAGGAGACCACCTCTCCCTTCCTCCGCAGGTGGGTCCAGCCCAGGAGCAGGGAGCAGATGAGGGCACAGAGGCAGAGCCCCAGCAGCAGGTAAACCACCAGCCATGGCTCCAGCTCTGGGCAAGCCTTCTGTTCCACCACAGCCACTGGAGGGGTGGCTTCCAGGGCACCTGCTGTGGGCCAGGCAGAGATGGGTGAGCAGAGCAGTGTGACCCTCGGGCACACCCTGCATGTGACTTTTTGGTTGGGGAAGGGTGTTCCTAGAGGATGCACCCTGCTTGGACAGAGCTTGAAAAGCAGCTCTTCACCACCTCTCCTTGTATTTCACTTCCTTGGAGAGGTAGAGGAGATCCCTTCCCACCCACCCCCCATTCCCACCCTTCCCTCTTCAGTGATCACATCTCAACCTAAACATGAGACCTGTAGACCTTTGAAAATAACCCATCCCCTCCTGTTCCCCCTCCCTGAGGGCTGGAGGCAGCTCAGGAAGGGAAACGTGGCTGCAGATCCTGCTCCTGCCTGGTGGAGCCAAAGGATTGGTCTCTAAAACACAGACATGGCAAAGGGAAGTGCCGCTGCCTGGGGGTGGGGGTTGTGTGGTGGGAAAAACGGGGCAGAGACAGAGCCCTGGCAGCACCCACACAGCCTCCCAGGGTGAAGAGAGGGGGTTTGCTGCCCCTTCCCTGGCTTCTCTCGGGTCACCTGGCTCCTCGTGCCCCCCTCCCTGGGGCCCATCCCCGCGGGGTCCCGGCAGCCTCACCCCGGCAGGTCGGGGCGCACTGCGGGGGGTGCTGCCCGCACAGCGCCCTGCAGTCCATGCACTCCTTCAGGAGCTCGTCGTAGTAGAAGCCGGGTCTCCTGTTGCAATCCATGGACACTGCGGGAGCAAAGGGAGACACGGACTTCTCGTCCTGAGCGCGTCCTGCCCCGACGGGCACTGCAGCGGGG